GGGAGAGAAAACACGAACCCAACGCGTACATGTCCATGGAGTCTGTTCTGACTCATTGCCACCCTATGGGAGAGAGCAGAACTGCCCTCGTGGGTGTCCGAGGCCATCAGTCTTTACTGGAGTAGAAAGCCTTCTCTTTGTCCCCGCAAACGGCTGGTGGTTTTAAACGGCAGCCCACTGGATCACCCAGTCGCAAGAAGGCCGGCGAGAGTTGTCTTTTGAAGTAGTCAAGTTGGTTAGTATGGTGTAAAAGATGGCTCTCTGTAGCACTTTCTTTCCAGCGTAATTTTTGGTGATTTCTTTTCATTTCCTAGGCTCCTTAGATATTTGCCAAGCTTTTACGTGTGCACCTATGTTGACATTAGAATCAAAGCTATCAGGCAGTGGCACCTGAGGAATTTTGAGAAGGAAGCTTTAAAGAGTAAGACCAGAAGGAAGCAGTGATGTCTTTCCATTCAAATTCTAATTTTCGTTGTCTCCCGTCTTGACAGCCCCCTTCCCAATCATAATTTTGTTATAAACTTAATGATTGAGCTGCCTGGAGATATTTTCAGCCTTTCAGAACTTTACTTATATTAAATTGGTATTATTGTCACCGACTATTCTTACACAGCTGAGAGTGTCATGTAAGGAATACTGGAATGGAAACATGACCACAGACTCCAAGTTAGGAGAACCAGGAGCAACAGTGCCTTCCAGGAGGCGAAGTCCCCATGCCATCCATAGTTAGTGAATAGGACCCACATTCTTTCCATACGCTGTATCCCTCACATTTCAATACTCTCATGGGTGTTTCCCTCAGGAAGGGCATTCGATTAGAATGTTGATATTGTGAATCCGCTAATTGAGACGCTTATTTTGTAAGTCTTTTCTGTAGACATTCATTATTCCACAAAATAGTATATTTTACAATCCTTGTCATGACCAGGTTCAGTTCTTTAGTTCAGAACAATTAAGAATGGATCTCCATATAAAAAATGTTTGGTGAGTTTTAGTTTGTATTCTGGTTAAGCGTGGTTATCTCTCTCTTTGTTTACACAGATCAAGAAGTTGGTCTATGTTTACTTGGTCCGCTATGCTGAGGAGCAGCAGGATCTGGCACTGTTGTCCATAAGTACTTTTCAGCGGGCTCTGAAGGTGAGTAGGGAAATAGCCCCAGTGTTTCTGCACAGTCCAGGGTGCCTCTTTGAGCAATAATCCCGTCCCCTGGCTTAGTAGTTAGTGTCCTGAAAGCTAAAAGGCCTCCCACAGTTTCATTAAATATCCTTCAGAAATCATTTTATCACTGTCTCCGTTATCTGGTGCAGCTATAACCACAAATAGATATCTTTAACAAACAAACTTATTCTCTCACCGTTGAGGAGGGTAGACATCTAAATTCTGGAAGCTAGCTGTAAGGGAAAGCTTCCACTCTGTTGGCTCTGGCGGAAGGTTCTTGCCTCCTTTCAACACACCTTTGGACCTAGAACTCCCTGCAAGTCTCCAAGTGTCTTTATCTTTCCCTGGGTGGAGGAGCTTCTCAGCTAAGGGACCCAGGGCCAAAGGAAACACTTCCATTTTGGCTCTTGTTTGCTTTTTAAGTGGTAATGATTTCTTCTCTGCTTGTTTCTCTCACCTTCTAGCTCTTGCAAAGCAAAAGGTGACTTGGGTCACAGCCCAAGAAAACTCTTAGTTGGGATCAAGATTAAGAATGTTGATCCCTTACAGTTGATTTGTTGTTCACAATAGATCACATGGGGGGCAGGGGCCTCATAGCATAACTGCCAGATGACATTATTACATAACTGATAAACCACTGAGAATTATGGCACAACCTGTTTCACACATATTTTGTTTGGGGGACACAGTGCAATCCATGACATTAACCAACTTGCTTTGCATGTTGTAACTTTTCTTTGTTTCTGTATGTGCAGTATAATCAGCATTATGTGTCAAAGACCTCATCAGTTAATTGTGGAGAGTGTGAATGAGATGACATTAATACTTTCGAAAAGATTAAATTCATAACTTCAATGTTGGATTGCTATGAAACACTAAATGTTGCGCATGTTGAGTGATAAATGATCAACTAGAATTATAACCATCACTTAATCTTGCTGTTAAAACATTACTTAGAAAAATAAACATTTCTTTTATTTATTTCTATACTGTATTATTTTAAATTAATAACTTTCCACTTTAGTGCTATGTTATGCCCTATAAGAACCTGTTTATCATGCGATATAGATGCTTTTGAAATATTGTAAGCCTGAAATTTTGATGAATCTTTTTGTACTACTTTTAGGACCCAAACCAACTAATCCGTGCAAGTGCTTTGAGAGTTCTGTCTAGTATCAGAGTGCCTATTATTGTGCCAATAATGATGCTCGCAATTAAGGAAGCTTCTGCTGACTTGTCCCCATATGTTAGGAAGAATGCCGCCCATGCAATACAGAAATTGTACAGGTAGGTGCATTGTTCAGAACACCCACTGCCTCTTTGGAATGATAGGCCCTAGTGGCTTAGTGTATGAACTTTTATAAATAGCCAACTTTCAGCCAAATTAGTGACTCTTATTAGCCACCCACAGACGTTCTTTGGATACCTTTAATTTTGTTTTTGTTGTGAAGATCTTGTGTAAGGTTTTAAGTTGAGCTTGTTGGAGACTATGATCCTTCAGTAATACTTGATCTTAGCCCAAAGGCAGAGAAGTGATGTGGGAGAATACATTGATTCTGTAACTTAAAATATTCAGCGTTTGCATACTCATCCACGGAGTTTGTTTCTCCTGCGTGTGTAGCCATGGCGTGCATTCTGACTTGTGGCACACAGGCCATCGCACAGCAGTGCTCCGTAGGGCTCTTCAGGGTCGCGTTTTCCTAGGGTGTTGCTGGGCCTTCTTTTGAGGGGCTGCTGGCTAGACTCAGCCTGCTACCATTTCGCTCACCAGCTGAGTGTAGTCACTGTGCCCACTGTCCAGGGATGACTCTTTATACATGCATGTACATATTAGAAAAGTGTGATGGTTTTCTGAAATGTGTTATCCTCTCCAATTGTTTCCCCATCTTTTATCTTTATTCCTTCTCACTTCCTCTTCTAATTTTTCTCCAGGGCCATTTTATATTAAATCATTCTTTTACAAATTATTAATTTTAGATGTAATGCTGTACCATGTTATGATATTTACTAAAACAGTCTTAACAGTTCCTCAATTTCGGTGGGAAACATACTGTCTAAATCAAAGGATATGCAATAATTTGGAGTTGTCTTTTATCATTAGTTTACAAATTTTTGTTGAGACTGGTTTGTATTTCTGGTTGCATATTCAGTATTGTGTACATTAGATTTCTGAGAAAGGTAGATGTGATATTTATAAATAACCCATCACATAGAGGAAAATAGCCCAAACGTATACCAAACAATTGTTGAGTAAAATATCAGCCCATGATATATATGCATATACAAAAACATAACAAAACAAAATACCCCAAACCCACTATTCTGTTGATTGAAATTCAAATTCATAGTGGCCCTGTGGAGGGCTTGACCAGCTTTATGAATCTTTACCAGAGCAGACAGCCTTATTCTTCTCACACGTAGCTGCTAGAGGATTTGAATCACTGACCTTGAGGTTAGCAGTTCAGTGTTCACTGCACAGTGCCAGCTACTTCTGCATATTCAAAGACACTAATGATGCCTTTGACATAAGAATTCATAGATTGGTTGTTAGCAGGAAATGAAAACTGCAATGAAATCGGAATTGGTTAGGATTGTAGGAGAACTAGGACTGGAATTTGAAAGAAGATGAATATTTAAAAATTATAATGGTTAATAAGATAGCATGCTATAAAAATGAAATTTATTTTATTAGGCTAAATTACAGAATGCTTCCAAATGACCTTTTGTTTGTTTGTTGTAAACTTTAAGTGTCAAATCCAAACTTAGGATGATGTTTTAAAAGTCCTTTCATCACTGGGCTCTAGTTTGCCTCTCAAAGCTAAACTCTGACCTCTTGCTACCTTGAACTTACACTCCAGCAGCTCTATAAATCCTTATGGGAGCAGACTGCCCCGTCTTTCTCCCACAGTGCAGCTGGTGGGTTTGAACCATGGATCTTTCAGTTAGTAGTTTTGAGCGCTTGGTCACCACAATACCAGGAGACTCTGGGGTGGACTGCCAATGAAATGAGGCCCCTATCTGAGAGTGGTTAAAATCTCATTGCCACCTGTTTCTTCTTTCATCTCTACTTAGAATATTTTCTCCTTTACTGAGCTCCAAAGGCAAGTTGCTTAAGATTTACTATAGGGGACACTTGCTGGAACCCTTCCATGATCATCCTGCCTCCATTGTTGTCCTTTCTTTTTGTCCCCATAACTCCTTCTGTAGACCTGATAGTATGGTCCATCTTTACTGGGCACTTTTTATTTACTCTTGTAACCCCATTATTTCACTGCTCAGAAACATGAACAAGAATCAGACTCTATGCTAGGAGGAAAATTAGTTGGTTGGTATTAGTATTTCAATGCTTAGAGTTGCTATTAAGACACAGTTCATTCACAGTTCTCTATTTGGGTGAGTCTGCTCCAATTTTTCTTAGGCTTAAATAGCAGGCTCTATACTGTATGTCTCCTAGAAATAATTTGATAAAAGATTATTGTTTTAAAAGTATTTATATTTGTTTTTGGCAATATGGCATCCATCCTCAAAACGGATTGCTATCTTAGTATTTACCCCCTCCTCCCAAAGTAAAATAATTTGTGGTTTATTTAGTTGCAATTACTGTATATACTCGAGTATAAGCCAACCCAAATAGCAGCCGAGTCACCTAATTTTTACCACAAAAACTGCAAAAAAAATGTGCTGAAAAACTCGGCTTATACACGAGTATATATGGTACTTTGTGAACTTTTATAATACTTTCTAAAGCACTTTATGATGGCTTTAATATTTGGGTTTAGTTAATGTGAAAAACTTAGAAGGAAAGAATATAAGGCATCTGAGAGAGAAATCATCTCATTTACTTTCAATTCATTTTTTTGGTCATTTCTAATTTGGCATATCTCTATCCATTCCCCTTTAAAACACCCAGCATCAATAACATGATGAGTGTATAATTTAAATCTAGAATTCAAAGGGGAAAATGGTTAATTTAAGTTCTTTTTTATTTTGCATTTTAGCCTTGATCCAGAGCAGAAAGAAATGCTAATTGAAGTAATTGAAAAACTTCTTAAGGATAAAAGCACAGTAAGTAATATCTTTTTATGCCATTACAGTAAAACTCTGCTTTCTGTAGTTATCATTTTATCACTTGATATTTCATATAAATACTCTTATTTCAAAATGGAATAAATATCAATGGAGGTCCTACCTATTTTTAAAATCTATGAAGAATAAAATTTCCAGAGAAAGGCTACATTTAGAGCTTGGTTTTGTTGTTATTGTTTTGTTTCATTTTGTTTTTTCATCAGAACCTGAAGAATTGCAAGTTGAAAAAATATACCTTTCACTTACACTGTAACTAAAATATTGACTTCTTTTAGTGACAGAATTTTTATTTTGAACAATGATTATTAAGTTTTTAAAAAGAAGCATCTTCTGGTATGTTAATATATAAGGATTGGAGTATTGATCTATGTACATATATTTATATGTTAAATTATTAATGTAGCAGACGGACTTTGGGCCTCTACTTAAGTCTTCTCTCAACACAAGAAGGCTTTGTTCTAATAACCTGGCAATCCGTGATATTCACCTTTCCAACAGGATTGCTGAAGACAAAACGGGTGCATAAGCAAATGTGGTGAAGAAAGCTGATGGTGCTCGGCTATTAAAAGATATAGCACGTGGGGTTTTAAAGCAATGGATCTCAACCTTTTTAATGCCGCGACCCTTTAGTACAGTTCCTCATGTTTTGGTGACCCCCCCAACCCTAAAATTATTTTCGTTGCTACTTCATATCTGTAGTTTTGCTACTGTTATGAATCAGGCGACCCTGTGAAAGGGTTGATCAATCCCCAAAGGGGTCACGACTCCCCAAAGGTTGAGAACCGCTGTTTTAAAGGCTTAAAGTTAGACAAGCAGCCATCGAGCAGGGAAACAACAAAGCCCCATGGAAGAAGCACATCACCCTGGTATGATCAAGAGGTGTCAACAGGATCAGGTACCAGAAGAGCCAAAACAAACAGTTATATCTATGTGAAAGAGAGGGTCAGAGTGGAGACAATTGGGCATCCCCTCAGCCTTCTGTCACATGGAAGGGATGAGTCAGCCAGGGTACAGTATAGCACCAATGAAACACACAACATTCCCTTGGTTATTTAATGCCTCCTCCCCACCACTATCATGACCCCAGTTTTACCTCACAAATTCTGCTA